TAAGGATGATAGATTATAAGGCTAATAGTTATAGAGCTATATCTACTAAGACTTTTTAATATGGGTGATGCTGATTTTGGAGGTCTTAAGTTGGATGTGTCAAAATGGTATGACAAATGTAGATATGGTTTAAGCATGTTGAAAGTTTTATACAGTGACCATGTAAAAAATAATTATGCATTACATAGGTGTTCTAAAACAATGGACATCATTGAGTTGCTGATTGGTGCTGGACATCTGACTCCAGACAATCTCACTCTCCTCTATGAAACTATTAAGGTAACACAACAATTTGGTCTGGGTGAGTTAATTCAAAATCGACATCCATCATTCCCAATACCAAACGATATCAGGAATATTGTGATCACAGAATTTACACAGCATCGGCAAAGACTTGTCAATCTGGGAATGACACTGAATCCAGATGAAATACAACACCTCACTGCAGTGTATAGTGTTGCAGAGGAACATACAACAGACAGCTGGAATTTGATTATAGATCTCCAACAGAGAATGATAATTTATGAAGAAGGGATGGAGGCATTCATTAAAAACTTAAAGAAATATGAACTTCCAAGGGCAATAACAGCTCTAACAGAAGGTATTATTAATCATAATTATACAACAATCTAAAGCGTTTCTCAAAACGAAAACATTTCTAATCCTATTTATAGTCTAAAGGTTCTTATATTTTCATTTTTTCCCCTAATTTTTTGCCTAATAAGGTTACTTTATTCCTTTATTCTGCATTGCTTTTCCTGCATAAGTCTATCAATAAGTTATCGACCAGCATATTATGAGTTTTCAAATTTTATATACCTGTATATGTTCACAATGGTCCAAAATTCTTTTTGAGTACACTTCCATGATTTTGAAGAATATTGAAGGTTTTCCAAAAACCGAAAGGTTCACTGATTAATCTTAGATAAGAAAATGTACAATACATACTCCAAGTATTGAAATGCATGCCATCGTGTTGAGATTCATGATTTCGACATTAATTATGTCATCATCAGCAACGATTCTTGCATTTCAATATTTGGAGTATGGACTTTCTTATACAAGGTTTACTATCCTGAATACATGACTGTCACAATCCAAAGACAGGTTTGGATGGGTGAGACAGCCAGAGATATATCAATACACACACTGTCCATTTACCAATTAGGGTATGTTTTTGATAATACCAAATTTTAATATTGTATACATTCGCAGGTATGACACAATTGGTTAATGAGCCCAAGTGCACAGCAACATCTTTGGTAAAATCTGCAATTTATTTTTGTTCTACATTATTGATAGGATGTGCCAGTATACAGTAATCAAATTGATTAAATCATAATTCTTATTATTAATTATTATTATTATTAATATTATTATTATTAATTAAAGAATAAATTAAAGTATAAATTACCTCATTATCACTATCATAATTTTTATTACTGTATTTCATTATCATTAATCCAAAAGGAGAATTATTATAATTACGTATTTAAATGACAAATAAATATTGACCTGAACAACATTTAGGTATATTAATCTTTCAAGTGATCTTTTAATATCGCTTTTTTGTCATTTGATATTATTGTTTTGATTTTGAATGAATAAATCTGAATTTTTAGTAGCATTATTATCTCAATAAATTACTTACTCTACTTTTTTATAACTATACTTAAATTTAAAAAAAAAAAGAAAAAAAAGAAATCAATATCATCCTGAAAGAGTACAATGTCATTGTAAACCTCAATGAAATGATAAATTAAAAATATTTTATAATCAACAGGATTCTGTCAACATGGCTGCCAGTGATCATACTCTATTAAAAGGAAAACACAAACCATATATTTCTGAAGCATTTCAGATATCTAAAGAACCTATGGAGGCATTGGAGAAAGCTGTCAATGACTGCAAAAACAAAATACAAGATGACATAAAACAAGTTATTCAAAAAGTTACAAAATTAGAAGAAAACAAACATACAATTTTAAGAGATATTGACAATCATGTACAAGTGATGATAAGGAAAATCAAAGAAAATGAAGACAAAATTAAAAATGAAGTAGAGACATTATATGAACAAAGAAAGGTGTTCTTGGATGTTAAAATGCATGAATTGCAAGCATCATTGGATTTCTTAAATCTACAGAGTAATGAATCAACAGCAAGGCAATTAAGTAGAACTACAGCACTGAAGGAGAGAATCGATGAATTGTCAAAAACACTACCAAATGATGATAGAAAAATTAATTTTGTTAAAAACCAATGTGAATTTGATAATATTGGGAATATACAATATCTGAGGACAGCAGACTACCTAAAATTACAAGGGATGGAATCTGTGACCCAAGGTCAGACAATTGTTTTCAAAATAATTAAAACAGATGAATGTAAAATACATGTAAATCAACTGAAGGCAACATGGACACTACCTACAGGAGAAATTAACATCATTCAAATTGAAGAAGACAACAATAGACATTATTTAGTGACAGTAAATTGCACAAGTTCAGGTGTTTGCAAACTAGATGTTAGTGCTGATGACACACCAATCAATCAGTCACCACAGTTGATCAAGGTAGAGAAGGAAGGATTAGTAAATACTATTAAAATAAATGAAGAATATATAAAAGATTTAATTAAGTGTGAAGATGATTGCTTGCTGGTTTCATGCTTGACAAATGAAATGCTCAAGTACAAGCAATCAGGAGAATATATTGGTAAGGTTACACTACCACAAGGTGTGAAAGTAAACAGAATGTTCAAAATGAAGAATGGTAACATAGCATTCAGTGATTTTAATGCTAGATGCATCAAAGTATGCAATAAGAATGGTCTGGTGACCAAATCAATTGGCCAGGAAAAATCAATGAAGACATCTGGTATGTATATTGATGAGACATCAAATGTTGCATATGTAGGAGGTTGTAAAACTGGTAGTGTGTTCATGTTTGACATTGATAGTGGCCAGATGATCAGGAGCATAGGATCACGAGGCATTCAAAAAGGTCAAATGATGGGAATTAGGAATGTTACAATTACAAATCAAAGACATCTTCTTGTATTAGAGTTTGAGAACAACAGATTACAACTGTTTGATAATGAGGGAAGGTTCATTAAAGTCCTTGTTGAAGCAGGTGATGAGAATGGTAAGGTGAGGTGTCCACGTGGAGTAGTAGTTGATGAGGATGACAACATCATTATATCAAGTAATCACAAACTACAACTATTCAGTGGAGATGGAAATTTCATTAAAAGAATCGATAAACCAGAAGATGGAATCAACGATCCATGTGGATTGTCCATAATTTCTGTTTATCCACGAAGACTTGCAGTAGCAAATTCTGGTGAACAAAATATAAAAATATTCAATTATTAAAGTTATTGATACATTTCAGAATGTGTAATAATGGCAGTATCTGTTTTCATATCCTTTTAATATTTACACAGCAATCTGAATGAACAACATAATCTGTATTAGCAATAGTACAATGTGAGACCTATCTAAATGTTATGATGCTGTTTATAAAAAATACTAATACATACAAAAAACAATTATGGATATATATATATATATATATATATAAGTGGTTATTCCTTCACTAAATAATATAAATGGTTTACCTTTTATAAATATTTCTATTTTTGTTTATGAATGATGATCATTATATTACTTTAATTAGCATTATAGTTTTAATAGTTTTATATTATAACAATATTATATATTTCTTTTGATATACCTGTATCATTTATTTAAGCCCACTGTCACTGTTTCGATTACAGTGTACACACTGATTACTTTGCCGACATTTTGTTTATTCCGCTCAATTATTTTCATAGGCCTGTTACCGCCAACGTTTTTTATGTTGCCGACTGTTTATTACTTCTGTGTTCCTAAATCGTGCCTTTTATCTTAGAATTTATCTCGCCTTATATCTTGCAGTTTTTAGTTCATCTGCTCTGTATTTTTTCAGTCATACGTATAACGCTGAGGAAGGACACAGGCGTGTCCGAAATATTCCTCTTGAATTAATTTCATGTCTCTATTATGTCAACGTATGCAATCGTTTCTTTTTCGTATTTGCTTTTTATTATATATATATAAACACTGTATATGTACATTTGATGATTTATATTATATTTATTCAACAGTGTTAACGGCTAACTTCCTTCAATATCATATATAATATACGACATAGAGGTAAACATAAACCTAGAAGTGACCTCCTCATAAAGGTAACCATGACCAGGGTCCCTCTTGTTCTTACTTAAGATCTAATGTGCTAATGTGTCGTAGGGCCCGTTCGAGCGAAAAAATATCCGTGCGATTACCAGTTAATTCACCGGTACACACTTTCTAAAACCGCTCGGACACTAGTCTAATTACCTTACCATCTGGATTATCTGCGACAATTTTGACCACCAAATTGCTTGGTAGTATATAAACTTGAATAAACTAGACTACGTACAGATTTTAAAGCAGCCATTATAAGTTACTGAGCTACATTATCGTTCCACCGTGCCGCGCTGTGTGTACGTGGGCTGGTTATAGTAGCAAGTAAACAAATGGGATAAGTTGAAATTTACTTCCAGAGTAGTTTCGTTACACGCATTTACCGTGAGCTAAAACTTCCTCGAACGGTCGACCACCCGCTGAGTGCTCAGCGCGATTACCCGGTGAAATAAACGGAATACGGTTGGTGTTTTTTGCTCGAACGGGCCCTTAGACAATTATGCCGACAAAACGCAAATCAGAGGATAAACAACACTCATTCATGACAAAATGGATTGGTTAATTTATTTAATTACATGTCAAAGATGTGGTAAACAGTACGGGGGAAAAACCACTACATCCCTTTACACTAGCTTCACAAATCATAAATCAGACATTAAACACCATAATATCCCATCAAGTTAAAAAATTACAGTCATTTAATAGAAGATATGTCAATTATAGGTATTGAGCATATCATGAATAATCAAGAATCAATTATCAAGAGAAAAGAATCGTTCTGGATTAAAAATTTACAAACCCTTCACCTGAAAGATATTATTGTTGATGAATAGCATCTCTCCCATACAAAGTTAGTTCATTTAATTACTATTCTAAAACTTCTGTCCTTCCGGGGTACATAATTAATTATATGCTAATTAACAGATTTACAAAATTCTATCACACATCAGCAACAAACATGCTACTTCATTCCACAATACCAGAGCAGAGACCAAGAGGGTAACAACAGTAAGTTCATTCAATATTTATGCACGTTTCATTTCAGTTAGTTTCACCATTAGCCTTTATAAATTTGTATTAAATAACCAATTTTGAATATATAGGATGTATTCTACTATAAACTAAATCAGAGTACGAAATACACAGAAATCACTGTGCATGATATACTAATTTTTATGTACTTTAATCATTGGTATTTTTAATGTAAATTATTTTAATAAGTAGTTTTTATATTTTAAAACAAGTTTGTACTGTTTTGTGGATTTTTCTGTACCTTAGAACCTGACCTCGAAAGCTTGATAAATTAAAGACAGGTTTTGTTCAATCCAAGCCTCCGACTATTTTTTTCATCTTTAATTTAATAGGCAAATAGAATAATCCCAGAACTAACATGTCGCATAATGTATGTAATTTTAACATAACCGAAGAGGAAATCTAATCGAAGTGATAAAAGAATCTTGACCTCCACAGGGACTCGAACACAGGACCTTTCACTTATTGTGCAAACGTCTGACCAACTTGACCACTGAGGCCTTTTTGGTTAGGTTGAGTCCAGTTGACACAGTCACTAAGTTTTTATCAAGTCTCTCAACATCCCAGCTAGCAAAGCGACGTTGGCCCAACGTTGGTAAACGTTGGCAAGCGTCGGTAAGCGTCGGGGTCGGATATCTGACGTTGGTACGACGTTGGTGTTTGGTTGCATAATTTGGTCGGAGAGGTAACGTCAATCCAACATTGGAATTTCACGTTGGCCCAACGTATGAATATATTTGTCGATTTTCCGATGTCGTCCCAACGTTGGTAAGCCGTCGTAAATATTCAGTCAATATTTTGTTACTGGCCCGACGTCGGCAAACTACTAAAAAGATGGTTGGGTACTACCGTTGGCCCGACG